ATTTTCTCACTTCTATTGATTCAAACAGCTAATGCTCTTTCTTTCTCTTCCTCCATGTTTTTTGGTTTTGTGTTTTTTTTTGCAGAGAGGAAGTACTTTAGAGTTCTGTTTCTCCTTCTGCCTGTGATGTTCCATCTGAACTTTTTACATTCTACATACATTTTGTAATTTCATCTGTTTTCATGAGTTTAACTATTGATTCCTTGCACATGATTCTGTACATAAACTTGCTTTTTATCTCTAATTCATCATTTAGAACTGCCTTTTAGAAATTTCCTCATGAGGGCCTGTGGTTCTGGCTCAGTGATAGAGTACTTGCCTAGCATGTGTGAGGCCCTGGTTTCTATTCTCAGTGCCACCTATAAATAAATAAAGGTCCATCAACAACTAATAAAGTATTTTTAAAAAAGAAATTTCCTCCTGAGTATAGTTCTAAAAAGGAATTAACCACCCATACCAAGGCACAGATATACCCAATACTTTTTCATATCAATTATCGGCTCTAACCCGAAAGAATGATCTGGTTACATTGTATAAAACTACCAGTAGCTTTAGCTTTTCCTTTTTCAACTCATAAACGGAACCAACCAGAAGCCAAATTCCATTCATCCGGCTCATCAAAGGGCTTTTTCTTCCCCTTCCTCTGATTCCACTGGTTCTTGCTGAGTTTATTCTGATATTCTCTTATATATGGGAATGGTCTCCTTGTTGGGTGCCATGACTGCCAAATCTTTCTAACATAGGCTTTGACAATTCCAGTTCTTTGTTCATTAATTCGTAATATGTTATCATAGTCTGTAAAATGAAGTCTAAATCTAATGAACCTGGCACTTAACCAGTGTCCCTCTTTTGCTTCCAGGTCTGGCTCAACTTACTTTTTTCCTAAATTTATTTTTATTGAATAAAAAAATAAGGTCATGGATTTTATCTCTGTCTGGGAAAGTTAACAGATTTTTGCTCTTGACAAATTGCTTCTAAAAATCATAAAGGTACTGAACATGAGAAAATAAAATCCAGTCACTTTTACATTCAAGGTGCTGGAGAGTGTGCCTTTGCCTCAGCCTCTGAACCAAATTGCTCAATAATCACACATAGCATATCTGTAATTGTTGACTGTCAATTTGTAATATTCTAAACTTATTTCCTTTTTCAACTTGTATTTTTAATAATATACACTTTAAAATAGCATTGTGAAAGATTCCTAGTCTCTGCAGATGAAAGTGAGATGAAAAATAAATTAGTTTGGTCCTTACAAAACTGTTTAGAATTATCAGTAGAAAACTTTGAGTATTTGAAGATTTGAATCGTACTGAGCGAACAGACACAGGGATGCAGTAACGAAAGATAAGTTTATATTCTGTATATGGTGCCAAGATTACTTTGAGAATGGGGAAGCCAGCTAAGTGACAAGGAGTTGTTGAAGCAAATACTTGGAGTGGGAGAAGTGATATGGGTTAGAAGCAACTAAGAGAGTCATTTCAAGGTGAGATGGGAACTTGAAAATCAGTGGGAAGTCAGAGATGGAACTTCAAGCAGGAGTTGATAAGCATTAGGGAGGAAAACAATTATTTTTGAGACATGTAAGACTGATTGCAGTGGAGAATGGTAGAGACCAGGGAGGAGAATAAGGAAGAAATTGCAGTACAAGTCAAAGATGAAAAATTGTCAATGTAAGTGTGAAGGTTTTTTCAATAGTAAGAAGGAACTTGTATTGAAATATGCCACCCAAATTGGCTCACCTCAGGGGAGCTAAGGTGACAGGCTAATGTGCTGGTAACAGATGGTTTTCCATTCCCTTTCAAGAAAGTGTGAAGCTAGACTCCCTGATAGTAAGTCAACAAATATAAGGGTTTTGAAATTCATTTGTATTTATTGGAATCTGCTATACATGCTTGTATCTTTTGATACAATCAAAGATACCTTGAGTCCTTGGTTTGCACATTCTCTTGTATTTGTAAGCAATAATTGCAAAGGTTATGATAAGAATAAAGACCCTGTGAGGCTGGCATTTTACAGCTCTCCACTGGCTTACCTAGGAAACATTCAATAACAGACATGGTTTTAGGTTCAACGTGGGAGGGGCAGGGTGAGATAAGATTTCTCTTAACTTGTGACTGCTAAGTGATCTACTTTCTTGAGTTTCAAAGATGGGAAAACAGATTCATAGAAGTTCCGTAACTTACTGCAGTCTCCATGGCTAGTCATATTTGGATGATGATTGCAGATTCTGTTTTCTTTTCTCTCTGCTCCAAAATATCCTAACAGATATCTTACTCTGGACATTTCCACTATCAACTTATATCATCTTCCCTTCTTTCTTATTACTAGGAGTTGTTGACAATGGAGATTCTCTATTTAGAACCTTGCTAATGTATTTATACTCTTCTCTCACTATTTTTTAGTCTCTGGGATTGGAAATTGAGTCTTTTAACACCTTAGCCTTTATGTTACCCTTACTTTTCACTTAAAGTCATTTGTCAAAGCATGTTGATTTTACTTCTATCTAAAAGGCATGACTGTCACTAGTGTAGTTCAGAACTAAAATATCTCTCTTTTGGAATGCTCAAGGAATCTGTAAATGGTTTAGTAGTTTTCTTTTCTTTCTTTCTTTTTTCTTTTCTCTTTCTCTCCAGTATTGCCTGATGCACTTGCTAAAAACCTGCTTTGGTATTTTACTTTTCCATTTGGCAGCCAGCAGTTGCCTTTGTCTAATAAAGACATCTTCTTAGCCTGGTATTCATTGATCAGTTTTCAACTATCCTTAAAAAGAATTTTCCTTTAATATTACCTCCATGACCCCTTCTTACCAGAAAAAAATTTTTTTAACCATTTTCTAGATCCAACCCATGTATTCTTGTACTTCCATCTCAGGATTTTTTCTCTTTTATCATATTCTTTGTTCATTATCCAAATCAGTCTCCTAGAGCTACTGTCTTTCCCTCCTTGGCATCTGTGGTATCTGCTTCTTCCTTTTCATCTTCTGCCACATTGGGCCCTAGCATTTCTCTGCTGGCCTGGCCCTCACTCTCCACATTGCTGTCATGATGATTTTTCTCTTGTGGCAGTCTTCATTTCCTTCCTTGGAAACTTGGCTACAGTCCATGTGTTGAAGCAAGTCCTTGAGCTTGGCATTCAACTCATATCATGGCATTTTCAAATCTTTCACACCACTCTTCCTTCTTTCTTGACTGTATGGTGTACTTTTTTTTTCTAGATGTGCAGCTTAAGTTGTTGCATATATGTTCGTTATTCTACTCTTTTCTGAAATTTTTGCCCCTGTTTTTTCTACCTCACAAATTGCTAGTTTATCCTTTAACTTGTTCAGACATGACTTTCTGAAGCATTTTCCTGAGTACCCCCAAATAGAGTTAATATACCTATTTTCTATGTAAGTGTTAGAATGTTACTGACTTTCATGTAATTCTACAGTTGCTATCATGCAATTATACAATGGTTGTTTTGCATGTGGGACTTCTATTTTAAGTGTGTGTTCATATTTTCATCTCTAGTACTTAACATAATGTGCTATGAGAAATATTTATTAATATCTAGGTTGAATTAAAAGGAACCTCAGCATATCCAGATCCAACAGATACTCCAGATCTTTCTTTGGGTATTCACTTAGTGTGCCTCCTCTTATATCAACACCAACTGGGAAGGATCCCATCTTCCTCTAATCCAGAACATATTGTAAACTCCATTTTTTTTTGGGGGGGGGCTGGGGGGGAGGCAGGTACCAGGTATTGAATTCAAGGGCACTCAACCACTGAGCCACATCCCCAACCCATTTTTTGTATTTTTATCTAGAGACAGGGTCTCACTTAGTTGCTTAGCATCTCACTGTTACTGAGGCTGGCTTTGAACTCTCAATCCTCCTGCCTTAGCCTCCAGAGCTGCTGGGACTACAGGCCTGTGCCACCATGCCTGGCTCCAAATTTTTGACACATGCTACTTGGGTTTTGATGATTGTAAATACCTTTTTCTTCTAAACTCTATACTCTGTTTGGAGAAAATTTAATTACCTTTTATTTCAGATCATTTAATATATGAGCTTTGCAAATATTAGAAAAAATATGGGTGAAATAAATGAATAAGTTTATAACTCTTGGAAAATCAAAGAAATTTAAAACTTTAGAGAAGTTTAGAATAATCTCTTTCATTATACATATCAGATAATCAGATTCAGAGATTCTGTCATTTTTTAAGGTCTTAGCATCAAGGAAAGAAAATTCAACAAGAAATAGTTTCCTGGTTTCAAGGCAATGATTTTATGTATTATCTAGTTATGCTGCTCTGGATCTTCATGTATATAAGTTATATGAATCTTTTTGATACATTACATGGTAAATTAATTACTTAATTTTTTACAGTGGTAATTATGTAAATTATACAAATATATTTGCTAGTTTAGAATTTTTAAAAACAGTAAATTTTTCACTTGGATAAATTTTCAAAAGACTATAATAACACTCTGGAAATCACAACAGATGAAGAGAGAAGATATAGAATGATTATAAAATGAGATATTTATATTAAATATACTTACATTTCTGAAAAAAGACTATAAGAAGAAAACTACAAAGGTGTTTTCTTTTACCCTTAGTACTCATTTTAATAATTAGGGCATGTTCAGTAGCAAATTAGTTTGTTTTAAAATCAGTACAAGGATGTGATTATTCATATTCATAAATGTAAAACATAAATTTTATCTATTCATTGAATGAAAAACAGTTCAGTTTATTAATTTAGTTCTTTAATTTTGCATATTTGCATATGCATACCGTAACCCATATAAATGTATCACCATGTATCATGGTTGCCATTTTCTGCATATAATTTGATTCCCTCTGTTTAAAAACTGACAAGAGTAATATGTATTATAGGTTAATATTGAAATACAAGCAAGAACATGTCATTGTTTGGGCCACTGTAAAACATTACATTCCCTGAAAAGTTGGAGGCTGATTTCTAACTGTCTTTTAATGTTTTCTCTTTAAAAGGTAAATAAGATTTGTGGCCATCCAGTAAGAACACCTACACAAAGCCCCCCTTGTTCTTTTGATCCTAGCAAGGAGAAGCATGGAATGAAGATCTCCACAAGGAATGGTGAAGAGACACTTGCCAACAGAAGAAAGTAAGACATTTGTTTTACAACCAGAAAGAGAAAAGAAAGTAAGCCATTCATTTTACAACAGAATAGAACGTATTCATTAAGTAGACCCAAATACAGTATAGAAGAAAAAAGATCAGCATTCATTAACTTTGAAATTCAGTGGCTGTACCTGTCCCATTAATTTGGAAGACAGATTCAGCTTGTGAGACCAATAAAAAAGTTCCTACAGTAATGGAAATTATTCTATATTATAATATGCTAGGTCCAGACACACGGGTCTATTGTGCGTTTGAAATGTGGGTAGTGCAACTGGGGATTGAGTTTTTTATTTTACTTGTAAGCTGAATTCTGCATACAGCTAGTGGTGACCCTACTGGATAGTGTAAGACAGAATAAATTTAAATAATGTATTATTGGGTTCAGCATTATTGAATATTTAGCATCTCTTAGAAATAGTTGGATAGAAAAAAGTTTCCATACAGTTTACCTGGAATAGTGAAAACAGCTGTGTTTTGGTACAGAATGGTAATAACTGAGCTGGGCTTGCTTCTAGAACTCACATTTCTAAGACCATGCCCATCATTACCTCACAAATTAAAGCCTTTATTAGTGTTCCTTTGCTAGATAATTGGTACTTAAGCTAAAAAATTCTTAAAACTGTCAGTAATTGTACTTGACTGTATACATATAGGCAAACAAAAATTGTGGGGGTGGCCATTGTTATAGACTGATTGCTTGTATTAATACTAGAATAAAGGCTATCCAATTCATGAATGGCAAGTAAAGTCCCATTAGTTCTTTAATTAAATCTGTTGTCAATTTGTCTTTGCCAATATTTTCAAGGGTAGTGTATAGTAAAGTACTTATATGTAATAGATACTTACAGAAACATAGGAAATAGGATGAGGAATGAAGAAAATACATAAATGAAGATAAAACAAATAAGGAAAGGAGTAGTCAGATAAATTAGGATACTATGGCAGGAATTTAGAAGGATGTTCAACTCATCCTTCTGTATCTGAGAAACAGATATGCTTGAGCATGAATATATATTAAAACACACACTATAATTGAAAAGTGTTTTTTAAACTTATCTTTCCCTAAGTAAAAAAAAAAAAAAAAAACAGTTAATATTCTCAGTTAAAATTTTCATGAAAACTGATGATACTCAATTTTTTCATTTCATGTTAATATTGTTTTTCATTGTAGTGTGTATTAAATATAGTTACCATACAGAGATAAAATAGAATTGGACAAGTATAGCTGTTGACTTGTTTGGATTTCCCACTATGACTCAATAATTAAAATTTTTAAAAATACATGAAAAATAGACAAAAAAGAAATGAATTTCTAAATGACCATCTAGATCATTAACAAAATAACTGTGTAATTCATTAAAAAGTGAAGTAAAAAAAAAGTTTATGTATCCTTAGTTACTTTTAAAAAGTGAAGTTAAAAAAAGTTTATGTAACTCGAGTTAATTTTTATAAATTATTGTTAAATACATGTTAGTTTTTCTTAGGTATTCATTTTTTTAAATTTAGTTTGGACAATTCTTATGAGAATACTACTAGCAGAAACTACTTTCTATAATTTAAACCAAGTCACAACTATTAAAAGAAGGACATGGAACAAAATAACTTAGTAGTTTTTATAGTTTAATATAGTTTCTGTGGTAGCCCAGAATACTCAATTACAAAATGTACCTATGGCTTGGCCAGTGAAAATGAAGATAAAACTATATTATGTTGTCAAAAATTTTAAAATGCATTTTATAGAAATAAGTTGTAGCCTTTTCAAATTATATTTTTACAGTTTACTTTAGACTTAGTTTAAAATTTCTACAATGATGGAATCCTAACTTTAAAAAAAATCATTTTAGGTCTTTTTCTTTCCCTAAATCATTTTAGGAAGAGTTTAATTTGTATAGCCTGGATGACATCAAAGAATTCTTTTCAATGTATGTTAATACAAATGTAGGAGTAGGAAAAATGGCTTCCCTCCACCCTCCAGGCTTTTGGGCTGAGGTGTGAATTAAATTGACATAAGACAGATCAACCAGAAAATCTATTTCAGTTATGTAGGTAGGCATTGAAGGTCCCCAAAATATATGAGACTCAAATTTGAGGCTCTTATGGGATAACATTTAGATCTACCAAAAGGCTTATGGATTCTTGGAGGTGGTGGAAATAAGTTGTGAGAGGGGGAGGGGAAAATGTATGGTGAATAGAGTTTGCTTTGTTTACTAATAATAATTTCCTTTATATATATAATTTTTTTTTTTTACAGAGGGCAGCTTTTCAAAACTACTCCTGTATCTGCAGTTTCTCAAAATATCCAGCTTGAAGTAATTGATAGCTGAAGAGTTATAGTTTTGAGTGGCATGTTCTGGTCTCCCCCAGTCATGTTTTGATATTTTGGGATGGTATGTCATACACACAGTATAAACATTGTTGATTTATAAAAAATTTGACCAGCTTCCTTTCTTTTTGACTAGCCAACAGTGTGAAGTGATGATTAATCAACCAGTCTTTGTTATACAATTGGAATGTTTAGTCCATTTTTGTAGTCATAAATAATATTCAAGTTTTTCATAAGTAGTTTTGCTTAAGAGTATCATCTTGCTTTTTATCTTCCCTTTACTCTGTGTATTTCTCTTTATTCCTTCTTTCTTGCCTTCTTTTGAATTAAAATGACATTTATTATTTCTTATCATTTCATAGCTTTTAGTTATGTATTTCTTTATTATTCTCTTAATGGTTACCATAGGATCACAATATGCATTTTCCATTTTTAATATTTTAAATAAGGACTTGTATCACTTCGTGGAGCAATAAAGCAATTTAGAACAGATTTACTCCATCATTCTTTTTCCGTCTTGTGTGGTTATATCAGCAAATATCTTACTTCTACTCAGGTTTTCACAACTCTTAGGACATTAGTTTTGTTCTTATGTTTAGATAGTCAATACTTACTTATAAATACTCACATTTTATTCTTTCTGGTGCTACCCCTCTCATTTCACGTGTTAATCTATAATCATTTTACTTTTACCTAGTGTATCTCTCATTGATTTTGGTGGGGATGGAAAGGATTGAGAATTGAACATAGGGCCTTGAACATGCTAGGCAAATATGTTACCTCTGAATTAAACCCCAGCCTTCATTGATTGTTATTATCAATGAATTATTTTAGTTTTTCCTTGTCTGTGCAATCTTCATTATTGCAAAATATTTTCTCTGTGTCTAGCATTTAGAATGTTGTCAGTCTATCATTTTTAGACATAATTTCTAAGCCAACATTAAGTTCATCACATGACATTATGTGTAAGTAGTAGGGAAAGTTAAGGGGAACCAATTTAATAAGTGAGAGTCAAGGTAGTTGATACTGCTATTGCCCCACTCATGTGCCCTCTACCTGGCCATTTTCCTGACTGGCTGCTGTGTCCTGGCTGCTAACTCACTGCTTCTCTCTTCTCTGAGAAACTGTGTTGAACAAATCAGAGCCATCTGTATTTCTTATCTATTGCTACCAAATAAGTCATTATAAAATTTAGTGCTTAGTGCAACAATAAGAAATTATTATTCTATTTTCTGTGGGTTAGGAATTTGGGAGCTGGTCAGCAGTGGGGCTTTGGCTCAGTCTCTAGGAAGATTGCTGTCAAGAAGTCTCTGGGGCTTTGGTCATCTGCAGGCTGGAGTTATCTTTTCCCACAACAGTTCAGTGATGTGCCTGTTAGCAGTAGGACTCAGTTTCTTGCCAGGGTGAACTTCCCTAGAGCTTTCTGAGTGTTGTGACTGGCTTCCCTGAGGGCAAGGAATCTAAGAGAGAGCCAGGCAAGGGCTGTAATTTTATAATCTAGTCTCAGAAGCCACACTTTTTCATTTCTGCAACATCCCATAGGTTACACAGCTTAGCTCTTTTCACTGTTAGAAGGGGATACACATGGCATGAAGGGAAGATTGTTGTGGTCATCTTCAAGAGAGGCTACCACCCATCTTATCTACATTAAGGAGTAGGTAAACTCTCACCTACCTCACTTGTTTGTCAGCTGCTGACAGGCAATAACTGACAGGATGTGGTGATGTAAGAGGTTTGCTCCTTTCTTAAGATATTGAAATTAGTGCTTTAGCACTCCCTGTGATTTTTGGCTGAAACTCACATTTTCAGCTAAACTTTTTCTTCCCCACCCTCTCCTCTTTCCCTTACTCCCTTTCTCCAAAGAATTATCTATCTGATTCCAAATTCCTGTCTTGGGCACTGCTTCTAAGAAATCTGACCTAGAGATGTCTGAATTTGGAAAAGTAGCTAAAATAAATGCAGAATGAGTATAAACTAAGAATTTTAGTATCATAACTATAGATATTTCTTTCCATAGCACCAAATTCATAACTTTTTCTTTCCTCCCTCTTGCTCTTTTGCTCACTTTATAGAAAACTCTCTATTAGATACATGCTTTTCTTTTGTACTAACATTTGAAAATGAACAATTTTATTATTAAAATGTGTCCTTTTATAAGACTTGTGCTAAACAACTTCATAATGTATGTAAATCTTTCAGTTTGGAGAGAAGGGAACCAAACTGGAGTTGGATTGTTTTTGTTTTGGAGATGTGACTGTCCAGTTCAATCTTCCGTATTTTTTTTCTATATGCACAGTGCAGTCTAATTGAAGACTCTGGATTATTGATACATGCTACTTTCAGTAGTCTCCAGAGTTGAGCAAAGCAAGTAAGAGCTACTGCTCCTTTAAACAGCTAACAACACATCGCTATTTCCTCCTTTTGGGCAGAAACCAATCAGTACAGCTGTATGGGATATTGCACTCATATAGATGTCTAAACCATCCCAGGCAGAGGGATCTCCCTGTGGCAATTCCTGTTCTCTGCTTGATTTCTTGAAGTTAGCTGGTAAGAATAAGCTATTAGCAAGCTTAAATCGGTGATAATTAGCTGTACATTGTTATTTCAAAGTGGTGTGGCTGTGCCAATTAAGTGGGTAATTAGGAAAACCCCAGGACAAT